CTACACTTAAGATGGTTAGGAATCAAAGTATTATTAAAGCATCTTTAAATATGTTATTAAATCAAGTGTTAACTGAAGATTTATGAAATACGAATGGCAACAAAAATCGTTAATAATAGGTTTCACTAAAGAGATGAAATATTGCAAGCACAAAATTAAGAAAAAGTTTATTTCACACATGTGCATTAAGTACATATGCTACATCAGTGTATTAATTTCTGAAAAATTCTAATTAATCACAACCCTGCCTCTCATTATTAAGTGCACATGTGTGCTGTTCATTCATTCCAATAGGTCATTTTACAATACACCTGGCAGATGATTTGATCTAGGGCTTTTATTGAGGACAGGGCTTATACTATACTACAAGGAAACCTTAAAATTATGTTGGTGCTTATTTTCCAATTAGATCTTATTTTAGGGGAAATGTATTACTTAACAATTATAAACAGAAATTGCATTGGTACTTCCTTGCTATGGTGGCCATCACATGTGCTCTGACAAAACTTGACATTCCAAATTAATTAAGACACAATAACACGCCGAAAATACTAATTCAGAAGTCAAACAACAAAAATCAGCGTTATACCTACAAAATTTTCACAGGACTAGTTTCGATGGTTTTACCGAACCATCATCTTCAGCTGCAAAACCGCAAATGAACAAGATAGGAAATAATGATTAGATAAGATAAGAAAGCCTGGACAAGAATAAGCAAGTGGCGCCATCTGTTGGCAAAACCAGAACTAAAACATAATTTCTCTAAAAGCCGAAGGCAAATTTGGATTGGAATTAGGATCGTTAACTAGAACAGAAAGATTTTTTTGAATGTGAAATGCCTCTAGAAAATCCAGTTCTCCAATGGAAGATGTTTTTTGAATAATTTTGGCAGCAGAAAAATTGAAAGTGTGATTTTCGGACCAACAATGATGGGCAACAGAAGACTTCTGTGTTTCCTTTTTTCTAACATATGCCTCATGTTCTTTGACGCGAAATTTTAAGGCTCTCTTAGTTTGGCCAATGTAAATTAAACCACACTGGCAAGGAATCCTATAAATACCCCAGGAATTCATATCCGGAATGGGGTCCTTGAGTATAGAAGTTGGAATTTTATTGATGGGAGAATAAACAACCCGAAAGTTAAATTTCTGCAAAATATGTGCAACTTTATAGCTAATTGATGGAAAGAAGGGAATGACAACAGAATTTTTATAATCTCCTAAAATAAGAGTGTGGCTTTTAGTGTGTTGAGATGAAATTTTTTAACTGCTTGATTAATAATGTTGGGTGAAAAGCCCCTGTCAATAGCTATTGCTTTTAAATAATTTAGTTCTTCATCAAGGGCTAGTTTGGAGGAGCAAACTTGAAGAGCACGGAAAACATAGGAATAAAATGAAGCTAACTTTTGTTTAGTCGGATGACATGATTTAAAGTGTGGTGGAAGGCAAACCGATGAAGGTTTACGGTAAACTGTAGTGCTGAAGTTGGATGTGTTACGTGTGACCAGAATGTCGAGAAACGGAAGAGAATTGCAAGTCTCAAGTTCAAAAGTGAACTGAATAGCAGGATCAATAGAATTCATTGTTGAAAGAACTTTATTTAAATCATCTTATTACCTTCAAACAGGGTAAAAGTATCGTCTACGTAGCGGAACCATGCCGGGAAGTTTAAAGTTTCAAACAATTTTGATTCATAGTAATGCATGTAGATATCAGCCATGATGGGACTGAGGGGGCTTCCCATGGCTAATCCCTCAGTTTGCTTGTAATATTTATTTTGGAAAACAAAATTTGTTTGTTTCAAACAGAGTTGAGTGAGAGAAAATTAGCTCATCAATCTCGATGCAAGAGAAATGAAATTCGCGAAGTCTGGTTTCTAGACATCTTAATGCACTCTCCACTGGGACATTGGTGAATAATGATTTTACATCAAAAGAAACCATGAGTAAATTACTAGGAGAAATGTTTTTAACCTTTTTTACAAACTCTATTGAATTTTTTATGGTGTAAATGTTATTGTCTAATAGAGTGGAAAATCTAGAAACTAAATATTTAGCTAAAGGATACGAGGCAGTACCTAAATTTGATACAATAGGGCGGAAAGGAATACCACTTTTATGAATTTTGGGAAGAGCATATAATCTGGCACAATTCGCAACAGATGGGATAAGCGAATGTTTTAAGTTGCCTGAAATGATTTGCGAAGATTTGATCGCAGTTTTTATTTTGGATAAGTCCGAAGGTGAAGCATCTTTAGGGATCGGATTATTTATTTTACTTATTTTAGGAACACACTCTTATTTTAGGAAATTATAAAAATTCTGTTGTCATTCCCTTCTTTCCATCAATTAGCTATAAAGTTGCACATATTTTGCAGAAATTTAACTTTCGGGTTGTTTATTCTCCCATCAATAAAATTCCAACTTGTATACTCAAGGACCCCATTCCGGATATGAATTCCTGGGGTATTTAGGATTCCTTGCCAGTGTGGCTTAATTTACATTGGCCAAACTAAGAGAGCCTTAAAATTTCGCGTCAAAGAACATGAGGCATATGTTAGAAAAAAGGAAACACAGAAGTCTTCTGTTGCCCATCATTGTTGGTCCGAAAATCACACTTTCAATTTTTCTGCTGCCAAAATTATTCAAAAAACATCTTCCATTGGAGAACTGGATTTTTCTAGAGGCATTTCACATTCATTCAAAAAAATCTTTCTGTTCTAGTTAACGATCCTAATTCCAATCCAAATTTGCCTTCGGCTTTTAGAGAATTTATGTTTTAGTTCTGGTTTCGCCCAACAGATGGCGCCACTTGCTTATTCTTGTCCAGGCTTTCTTTATCTTATCTAATCATTATTTCCTATCTTGTTCATTTGCGGTTTTGCAGCTGAAGATGATGGTTCGGTAAAACCATCGAAACTAGTCCTGTGAAAATTTTGTAGGTATAACGCTGATTTTTGTTGTTTGACTTCTGAATTAGTATTCCAAATTAATTTGGTAAAAGCTAGAAAATACTATGGCAACCTTCAAAAAAGGAAAAACTGCAATTATATCACATGATGTTTATAACGTTTAATGTGCTGAGTAATGTAAATGCTAAGTTAGTGAAATTTTCTGATTTTTTTCTAAATTAGAAACATATTGCTGTCCATAGGGGGAGAAAAACAGTGACATTTTTTCATCATCCTATTAATGCTACTGCCATATAAATATTAATCAGCAAACATTACGAACATATCAAGAAAAAAAGTTTAAAAATACAATTCTGAGTAAATAAATATTAATAAAGATTGTATGATATCATCATACATACTGTATAATAAATTACTGTTTTCACCATGTAAACAGCAAAGTTTTGATTTAAAAAAAAAAAAAAAATACAGAAATGCACAAATTTGGCACTGCACACCTTAAACATTACATATTTTATACAACATATTACTATTATTACTGGAATTACAAGTTTGCCAATTATGGCAAATAATTTGATTTTAGGAGAGTGACTGTGGTGGTTGCTTTAATAAGGAAGTACCACTGCAAGTATTTTCCTATAAGTTTTAGTAATTAATACAGCTATATTAAAATTTGTTGAGTTTCATTCTACAACAAGACAAAACACAAACTACAAATTTCATAAAAGTCTGTATTAAAAGTTACAATATCTGGTCCATTTTTACATCGGTACTACTTCTTTCATGAAATAAGTTATTTAAATGTTATTTAGTTAATAAGTTATTTAAATGCAACTGACAACTGAGAATTTACTTTTGCAGCTGCTTTGCCAAAGTCTAAGTAATTTTCAGCACTTACATATTAACACAACCACCTTGGCATAAAGTGCCCATTTTTTACGGATGAAAAGGTAAAAGTTACTTATCAGATGCAAGATGGTAGTTTTTCGTGCCTTTTTTGATGAAAGATTCCCAAACTACCAATATTAATTTTAAGTCAGTAAACATTATCAATACATGAAAAGGAAATGTACTTTAGCAATTTAAAATACAAATTTTAATTGTTAAATAAATATTACATGAGAAATTAAAAAAAAAAAAACACTTAACATTCTTTTTCAAATCTTTCTGTAATTTTTTTGTGCTATTCTCCCGAAGTAGACAGCTATCTGTTTTCAATTAATATCAGAGAACTGTGGAGACTAAGCTTCATGCCACTCTTGGCAACACTGACTATCAAAGAGATTCATTTCTTTGTTGTGTTCCCTTCAGAAACTCTTCAGCAAAATTCTGTATTCTTGCATAAATTTTGCCGCAGTTTCTTCCATTGCTGGCAAATTCTACAAGCTCATATTTTAAAACTAAGGGGGAAAATATCACATTTTGATCATAAAAATCACTGGAACTAGGAATACAAAAAAAAAAAAAAAAAAGGACACGTAAAAAAATTACATTGTTGCTTGACTGAAGGATTGTTATGAAGATGCTTGCAGAAGAATGGTTATGTGCATGATTGCCAGAGTTTGGCACATTCTAATCTGGTGATTTCTATTAAAGTGGTTGCATTAATATCTAAGTACCTAATTTTCAGCATGTTCACTATTGGAAAACATTTTTTTCTCAATAAAGCTCTAGCATTTAACCCAAAGCATTTAATGGCAAATTGTCCTCGTCCAAAAAGGCACAAAATAGTCAATCCAAATTTACCTTTCCAGTCCCCTGTTTCCCTACAAACAAAATTTATATTTTGAATTTCCTCCATTACAACCAATGCTTGGGGGCTTTTGCTTTTGCATAAACATAGGTTAAAAGACTTGATATTCCCGCACACAAAATCAAATAGCCATAATGATACACAAACCACATTGTAAATGTGTTACTTTTCCTAAACAAAATTTTTCTAAAGCACATTTCTTAAAATATATGAAACTTGCATCATTCAGTGATGAGAGACATTCAAAGAATGGCTGAGATTATCTCAAACAAAGGTATTGGGTTAATTAAGGTCCATTATAATTAAAATGAAAGTGAAAACTAATAAAACTACTTACATTGAAATGCACTTCCATATGTTCAATGGCTTTTCCAGCCCATGCCAATTCTATATCAGGCTGAAAAGTAATTATTTTATTATCAATATCAAATACAGCAAAAATGAATCACTTCCTCCTCTACAAAAATAAAATTTCATTACATCTTCACATGTCATTTGGACACGAGAAAGAGGATTTAATTAAAAAACTCAAATAACCAGTGTTAGTTTCCTCAGTTACTTTTTACTTTTAAGAAAGGCCACAAGCTTTCTATGAAATGTCACTGAAAACTGATGTCTGAAAGATAAAAATAGAAAATGAAAATGAAAAATTTGTATCTCCTTTTTTTTACGAAATGTACAAATTTGAATAGTTAAGTGATGCAAGAAAAATACTGCATCTTTTTTTGGGGGGGAGGGGGGGAATGACCGAATCTTGCCCTTAAAATTTGAGAAAAATCTAAAATTGATACCAGATTACACAGAATATTACTCAGCAAATCTTAACTACTGTTTATTCTTAGGGTGAGATGATATATGCTCAGCATCTTTTCTGTAAGAATGACCAGATGCAATGAATAAGAAGACATAGAATATTTTACTAGATGAAATCACTTGGAAATTTGTCTTCATAGGTTTTGAATGAAAACAAATATATCACCGTTTAATGAAATAACAGATGATATCCTTTTTCTATTATTTAACTGAATTATTTACAAAAATCATATGGATTACATGTATACTTAATTAAAAATATGCACTTATGACAAAGAACAGAATGGTTTTATCGAGGGTATTTCAGGAATCAAAAAGATCAGTATATGGTGTTTCATTTAATTTCAGCCTCTTAATTTTTTCTCATAATTTCAAGACCAACAGAATTATATCCTAGTATAAAAAAAGCATGAAAATTACATAACAAGTACTGAAAGTAACCGCAGAAGAACAAAGGAAGCAACACTATTATCTAGTCTCCAAAAAGTGAACATTAATTGTATAAGCACCATCACTCACAGTTAATTTCAAAGCTGACAGGGTAAAGCATGCATGTGTAGCACCTCCTCAATTGTTTCTAAAAACTATTGACCTTTCTGAAGAGGCAACTCCATTATTTTTCAGATCTTAAAAGGAATAAAAATGAAAATGCTGTTCTTTTTCTTCCTGTTATCAGGTTCTCTAATCTTTATATATTTAAATGGATAAAAGGTAGTTGAAGGTTTAAAAAAAAATATTTTCTTATTCTCTTTATTTGTTTATGGGTTTGTGATTCTGTTTTTAAAAGCTACAATTGTTGCTTTCACTCATCTTCAGCAAGATGAACCCTGGATTTCTGAAAACTTCAAAAACTCTTCTTCATATCAACCTTGCAAATGGCATAGGTTCCACTTTGTTCCCACCAAAGGTGCAAGAAACAAAGGTTGCTTAACTCGCTTCAGTTTTTTTGACCAAGCACAGAAACTTTCACGTACAGCTCCATAATTTTTACTGCATGTACAGTACAACTCCAATTATCTGAACTTCGACTATCCAAATCACTGATTATTGGAATCACTTTCAGAATTTTTCAGAATTAACTGAAGAAGAGAAGGAAAAGGAAAGATACAGGAGAAGATGAGGATGATGTGTCACTTGAGGAGTTAAGAAACATTCTTTTGCAAATGCCTGGATGTTCAGAAGTTAGTGCTGAGGATACAGCAGAATGGATGGTGTGTGATTCATCAGACCCTGGGTTTCAAATTCAAATTGATGAATTTATTAAAAGTGTGAGAGAAAAAATGTCGAGGAAGAAGATGACCTTAATCTCAAAGATGAAACAGACACGGAACCATCGGCTATTGAAGCATTTGCCAGCGTTGAAGTGGGTGGACTCAAGTGTAACCCCATGGAATTTCTCACTGTCAAGCGGATGCGCGACTTGGCTGCTCGAAAACCAGTGAAGATAGTCAAACAGCTTACTCCAACTGAGATGTTCAGCAAGCAATAACTTTCAGCACTTGTAAGTACTGTACAGTACGCTATAGTGTTACCTTTTCATTTTAATTAATTAAAACTTCTTTTATCTCCCATTTTTAACATACAGTAATTAATTAAAGTATACGTAGACCTTTCGTTCGGAAAAAATTCAGTTATCCGAATTGGGTCCGGTCCAAATTAATTCAGATAATTGGAATTTCTACTGTATTAATAACAATAATGCCTTATTCCACCAAAACTGCAATTTAAATGCACTGCATCTAAATGAGCACACGCATTCCCTGAATACTACATGTAAGCTAGAGGCAGTTCTCACTTTGTACATAAAACACAATTTCATGATAAAAAAAATAAGGGTGTGGTGTATGCACTTTTACATTCTGCTGCATTATTGGTCTCCTCTTCTTTAATACAACGGTGAGTATCACAGTCTACAATAAAATTTGGTATATACATATTAGCGGAAGTACCATGGCGAAGTATGGTGATTTTTTACAGAAGAAAAAATGATTTGGAGTATTTTAAGATTGCAACTTACAATGGATATGGTTACCTAAAAACTGTTATGCACATGATTGCCAGAGTTTGGCAACTTCTACTACGGTGGTTATGATAATACATAAGTACCAAACATTTTCCATGAATTTTTTTAATTAACAGCATACTTGCCAACCTATGACACTAAAGAATTAGGAGAATATTTTAAGGAATCAAATGAATTTTTTCAATGACAAAAAAACTTTTTAAATGGTAAAAATATATAGAAACAATTTAATACCTGAAAGTTCAGTCACTAAATTTTAAATGCAAATAGTACAAAATTATTTACATGTAAAAAAAAGTTTTTATTATCTGTATCTTTTAACAGAAAAATCATACTTTAATCAGTTTTTGTACAAATACTAAGAACAGTGGCAGATTTTGCTTTTCATAAGAAAAAAGCTTCTAATTTTGTTTACAGTAATTGCCACACAGCCCTACTTTTGGTAATAAAACGTGTTTAATATGCCATTCCTAATATTGGATCTAAATTTTGTGCTTGTTTCAGTAGCAGCACTGAAAATCCTCTCACAATCTTGATTACTGCGGGGAATTGTCAGAATGGCCAACATTAATTCTAGACTCTTTTTTTCATTATTCTAGACTGTATTTTCAAATTCCATCAGCACCTTTCAGTTTTCCAATTAAACTTCAGTGAGTGTCAATCCTTGCTGGTTTTAAAACTTAATGCGACTGCAGTTTATCAGTTGCGATATCAATAGCATCATCTTTCAAAAAAACTAAATGAAGTAAAACTGGAAATATGTTCAAAAAATATCTTATACTGGAAAAAGAAGCATTTGCTAGAGCAGAAACATCTGCAGCTCTGCATGTAAAATTATAAGATAAAATTAGCAAGATCTTCAGCAAGATGAGGCCATCTGCTTTTCCTTCACAATAAACATGGCAAAATTCATTTCTTCTTTGAGAACTGTATTTCCAAGGGACCTTGGCCCTTAATACCATCTGATCTTACCTGCCCTGGTTCTTTTTATGGGAAAAGTGTATCACAAGATAGACTTCAAAATTAATTCAACAATTTTTTCTGTGAAAGGCAATGCAATTATTTTCTTAATTAAAATATTAATTGAAAAAAACAGCCCATTACTCACATTATTCTGGTAAGATTCTGCATCAAAGAAATTTTCAGTCATTTTTAGCAGCTAACAGTTTCTACAGAATGCCACAGAAAAAAAAGTAATCAGTGTTATCCAGATATGTTTTAATCTTGAAGAAGGAAGGTTCTAATAATCCAGCACTGCAGATATATAAAGAGAAAGCTGAGTAAATATGCTTATCTATATTTCACTAAAATTATGGAATTTAAAAAGGTGAAAAAAATTCAAAAATATATAACAGGAAAAAAAACATTGGCATGTATTTAAATAACATATTTTATGTAAAGTGGAATTTTACAGTAAATCTATTTATATTTACATAACCTTAACTATTCATATTAAATTCAAAAGAAGAAAAATATTCAAATTTTTACAATGATATAACTTATTTCACTTTTTAAAAAAGTCGAATGTTAAGAGCAATAAGTCATTATAAATACAATTTAGACTACATATAAAAATTTAAGAGCTCATTCCTACCTTTGAGTATAGATAACAGTTTTTCTCAGTATTTTAATATTTCAATAAAATAATTAGAAGGTAACCACAGCAATAAATTTAATTTATTTGAAATAAAGTAGAGTTTTAACTGAGCCTAGTTACAATTGAAGCACTAAAAAAAAAAACCTATCCCATTTAAGATGAAACTATTAAAATTCTTTTAAATTTCTTAAATTCTGTTTAATACTGCTAATACAACTCAGAAGCATCCTCCCAAAAAACTTTCGAGTCATCCAGCAGGACAGTTAGCTAGAAAATTGCATCACTGACGGATAGAGCAAAGATTTCATGCTTCCTGTACAGAAACCTCACAAAGACATTTTATAACTAATAAGCTTCCTCCCTGAAAAAAAAATCTTTAGGTTGCACTCGTGTGAAAACCAGATGCCTGATAAATAACACTGCAATGACCCTAATGACTGAAGTTACGAGAAATGTACCATTTCATTCTGCCTTTGGTTCCTCTTTCCTTCCCCCCCCTTTCTATCAACTTATTATTGTGTAGTATTCAGTTCTAGATGTTTCAAAAAGATTATGAATTTATTCCTTTTTATTACTACTGCTACCAAATTTATAGCAACTTTCGGCACACTATTTTGTTCAAGATTTTATTTGAAATTACTGCTTTTCAACTTTTAATATATGCAGCAAATCAGTTACAAATATTTAGGAGAGATTGAGTACACCTAGATGATAGAAAATCCCATAGCAATTAGAGATGGGCAAAACCGCTCCTTTAAGGGATATGATCCAAACCGTTCGCTCACTAAAGTGAATCAGTTCTTTTTAGCGATTCACCATTGACTAACAATGAGCTTAATGAATGCATTTAAAACAGGCATGGATCAAGAGTGCTGTGCAAAGATAGGGGAAAAGCAGAAACTGAACAAGGAGTGGGATCGCTGGAATCAACTCAACCAAACCACTCATGCCCTGGACTGATTTCTTTCACCCATACTTTAGAAATTCCCTTAAAAAAAAGGTTCTACTTAAAATAGCAATAAAATTCTGGAATACAAAAGTGCCGAGTTAAAAAATAATGAATACTAAACTCACTTTTGTAAAAGATTATATTCTTTTATTACTATGATTGATATTTTGCTGCTACTAAAAACACAGTGTAAAAAAAGATTTTTAAACTGGAGGCAGATCCCAAAGAACAGGAAATTGTCTGCTGACAATACCAGCATTTTCCTTGGTACCATTCTGTTACTGGGACCGGATTCAGAAATGTATGAATATATGATTATGTGTATGCATATATGTATATATACACACACATTCGTACTTACATATATACATCCATACATGAATATACACATAATGAATGTTTTTTAATGAAACTCATAGGCCAAAAGATTACATTTAGTGTGATTTTAATTAAGAATAACTGATATGTTATTCACTATAAACACAGAAGTGGTGGCACCAGATGGCAGAATTTAGGACGAAATTTTTGGAATTTGGGGAAGCACTGAGCCGCAAAATTAAGGGATGAGACGTTTTTATGATTTAGGGAAAGCACTGGGATCCGAAGTTTAGGGGCAGTGAAAATTTAGAACTGAGGAAAGCACATTGTAGCAGAATTTAGGACCCATAGAGACTGCACCAGGCGGTATCTAACGCCGGCCCTAAATAAAGCCTTAAGTATATGTGGGAGTTTATTTATTCAGGACTCGGATTAGTTTTAAGCATGTGCAAGAAATAAATGTAGATATAATAAATAACTAAACTAATTATTAATTCAGTATGCAATAGAAGCAAGACAAAATTTAGCAAAACAACTTGGCTTTCGTCGTCACTCTTGTGATACACAGCCAATAATGTATAATGGAAGCTATTAAGCTAGGCTAAAATTATCTTTGCTGATTATAAAGCATTTCAATTAATGTAGCAGACTGCGCTGCTCCCTGATCTTCTAATTTGATCCAGCTTATTATTTTTTGCAGACTGTTATTATTACGGCAATTTTATAAAAACTAAGATTGAACTTTTGATTATGTCAAAAAGAGTTTCCAATTCTGGAGTTGCCAAAGGATCTACAAAGCGAAACCATGTTTTGATGTCCATTAAAGAAAAAAGTGGAATTGCTGGAAAAAATGGATAAAGGCATATCCGTCTCAAAATTATGCGAGGAGTATGCCATTGAAAGTCCACTGTAATGACACAAAAAAGGAACTTTCGAATTTTGTGGAAGCACCAAAACTTACATTGATGAATTTTAAAAAGTAAAAAATTAAGCTTTTTTTTGTAATTTGATACCCTTGATCTAATTGTCTTATTTTTTCATATTTTGTTGATAATTTCTGCAGCCATCTAAATTTAAATTATGATCTATTATCTGGGTGAGTGAGTGATTATGGCGCAAAAACCAGAGATGATTATGACGCGCCAAACAAAAGATGAGATGATTACAATTGATGACATTAAAATTCAATAAATAAAAACAAGTAGATAAATGTACCAAATCCAGAGGATGAAGTCATATAAAAAACAAGTTAAAAGCACATATTAACATTCAAGACACAGTCTTCAAAACAAATTACATTTGGTAATAAAAGCCAATCTCTTTTAAATAATAAAATAAATTAGAATTGACCTCTCTTCCGATTAAACGGTCGAGAGGTAAGTCACAGCTATTAAAATATTTCTGGCGAAGACTATTAAAACATGGACACTCAATTAAAATATGACGAACAGATAAAACAAACATTACAATTAAAACAAACAGGCTCATTTTCAGCTTTAAGAAGATAGCTATGTGTGACTCTGGTATGACCAATTCTGAGTCGAGTCAAAAGAACGTCCTCTTTACGATTTCCAGCAAAATCCCAATGCTCAATTCTAGGTTTGATGTTTCTCAACTTGTTGTGATGCTGAACATCCCAAATTTGCTGCCATTTTTTTCGTATCTTTCCCTTGATGACACAGCAGATGTCTCTAAAAGGGATAAGGCGACTGGACAGTTCGACAGCAGATTTTGCCGCGATGTCTGCAAGCTCGTTTCCCTTTATTCCCGTATGCCCGGGAACCCAGCAGTACAGGATTTCATATCCTCGTATCATTAAATTTCTATGAATTTTGAGAACATCCACTACCACAGGATTCTGAGCGTTGGGAAAAGCTTCCAAGGATTTAAGAGCACTATACGAGTCTGTGTAAACTATGAACTTTTTGTGGCAGAGCTTTGAGATGTACAAAAGAGCATAATATATTGCAGTTAGTTCAGATGTTAGGACAGAGAAAGCATGGTGCAGGCATCTGCCCTCTATGTAATTTTCAAATACAAAAGCCATCCCGACATGATCATTTGACTTTGATCCATCTGTGTATATCGGATAATAACTGCTATATTTGTGCCTGTGCTCAGCGAAAAGTTGTCTGTAAACGATCTCGTTAGTGCTCGCCTTTACGTGATGTTTAAAAACATCAAGAAGCTGGATCCGTGAATTTTCCCAAGGTGGAATTTCAAAATTCTGTACTGCTTGGGGGTGCATATCAGAGAGGGAGAGTTCCTCAATGACAGGGCGAACTCTTAAAGGGAAAGTAGGAACACAGGATGGACGTGTTTCAAATAATGTGTTACACTCATTATCAAGTAAGCACAGCTTATTGGGATGTTCAGGTTGAGATAGAGTATTAAAATATTGCAAAAGGGACAATTGCTCACGCCTCAGATGAAAGTGATGGTTCGTTACAGTCAACATATAGGCTCTGCACAGGAGAAGTCCTGAAAGCTCCTGAACAAATCCGCAGACCTTGATGGTGAACAGGATCCAGTTTTAACAAAACAGATGAGCGAGCGGATCCATAAACAACTGAGCCATAGTCCAGTTTAGAGCGGATAAGCGCTCTGTAAATGCGAAGCATGGAGCAACGCTCTGCACCCCAGGAGGTGTTCGCCAACACTTTTAAAATATTTAGTGTTTTTAGACACTTCTTTCTCAGGTTTAAAACATGAGAAAGGAAAGTCAATTTTCGGTCGAACGTCACTCCTAAAAATTTTACTTCAGGCGCAACTGGAATAATTGTACCATTCAAGTATAACTCAGGTTCAGGATGGAGACCTCGCTTCCTACAAAAGTGCACGCAGACAGTTTTCTGTTTCGAAAATGTAAATCCCTGTTTGTCTGACCATTCTTGGATCTTAATCAGAGCCATCTGCAGTTGCCTCTCTACATATCTCATGTCTGCTCCTCGACAGCTAATCTGCAGATCATCAACATATAGAGATCCCAAGATGGTGGGAGGAAGGAAGTTCTTTTAGTACAGAATTTATTTTTAAACTAAACAGGGTTACACTGAGCACACAGCCTTGAGGCACACCCTCTTCCTGTTCAAAAACATCCGAAAAAACAGAGCCAATTCTTACTTGAAAAGTTCTAGTGTTCAAGAAATTTTGAATGAAAATTGGTAGGTTGCCGCGCAAGCCACTCTCGTGAAGATCCCGGAGTATACCGTATCTCCATGCCTTATCATAAGCTTTTTCAATGTCGAAGAATATCGAGACAAGGTGGCTTCTTCTTACAAATGCTTTTCGAATAGATGTCTCTAAGAGGAGCATGTTATCTACAGTTGTTCTTCCCTTTCGAAAACCACTCTGATAAGGCGATATAATATCATTCTTTTCCAAGAAGTAGACTAGGCGGCTGTTTACCATCTTTTCAAACAGTTTGCAAACACAGCTGGTAAGGGCAATTGGCCGATAGTTCGAGGGATTCCTCGGGTCTTTCCCTGGCTTCGCAATAGGAATGACAATAGCTCTCCTCCATGCACTGGGAAATGTACGCTCCTTCCACACTCTATTGTAAAGTGTGAGAAGGGCACTCAGTGACTTACAGGACAGATGCTTTAGCATTTCATAATACACGCCATCCAGACCCGGACAAGACCTATGTGTCTGCAACAAAGCTCTCTTTAGTTCAACCATAGTAAAGTCTCTATTGTACGGCTCAAAGTTGGAAGAGTTGAAAGCGATGGGATTTTTCTCAGAGCGTTGCTTGATAGAAAGAAATGCAGGTGAGTAATTTCGGCTGGAAGAAACGGCAGCAGCAAATGTCTCACCAATTGTATTTGCAATTTCTTCTATGGAGCTAATCACTCGGCCATCTTTTTCCAGAAAGGAAAGTGAGTGGTCTTTGTACATTCCGCATGCTTTTCGAACTCTTTCCCAAACCCGCTTACTAGGCGTAGAGGATGTTATTGAGGACACATATGAAATCCAGGAATCCCTCTGGCTCTGCCTTCTTACTTTCCGTGCATTTGCTTTGGCTCTTTTAAAAGCTATGAGGTTTCGCAGAGTAGGATATCTACGAAAAATACCCCATGCTTTTTTCTGTTTTTTCAGTGCTTCATGACAGTCGCGATTCCACCATGGTTTCGAATATTTTTAGTAGTTTTCCTGATGTTCTAGGAATCGAAAGCATAGCTGCCTGAATAATAGTATTAGTAACAGCTTCAACAGCGTCATCGATATGCGCATCTTCTACCATTTCCTCTGTCAGCTCTGCAATGGAAGAGAAGAGTTCCCAGTCTGCCCTGTCCAGGATAAAACGAGGGGATCTCGACACGGGGTTTGCTCCTCTTCGTGCAAGAGACACAAAAATAGGGATAATGATCGCTGTTGTACAGGTCATTTACCGACACTTAAAAGTGCAAAATGGCAACAGAGATGGTGAACAGATGGCAAGATCGAGAGCATGGAATGTCCTTTGAAGGCTCATGGAAGTAAGTATCTTGCCCATTATTGAGGAGACAAAGGCTATGATCTTCGATCATCTGCTCTAATTTGTCTTCCTCGGCAATTTGTATCTTTACTTCCCCAGAGCGGACTATGGCCGTTAAAATCTCCTATTATGATGAAAGGCTCAGGCAGCTGCTCTATTAAGACCATTTAAATCTTGCTGATAAATGTGCTCATTTGGAGGCAAATACAAAGAAACGACTGTAAACAACAATATCAAAATTTGTTTGAGTAGCGACAACTTGGAGGGATGTCGTCAAAGGAAAGTACATTTGAGGGATAATCCAGTGAGGTGAGGAGACCTACACCTCCACTGGCACGCTCACCTGCAATGTTATCTTTCCTGACGAAAGGAAAACCTCCGAAGTTTTGCATGTTGTTCTGGTTTTAGATTTGTTTCCTGTATTGCGAAGCATACAGGATGATAAGCATTTATTATAGGCTTTGATGTCGAGCAAATTTCGGTGGAAACCGCGACAGTTCCATGACACGAGGGTGGCCATTATGAATGGTTTTTGTTTTTTTCTGTGCTGTTCTTTTGTTTTTCGTGGAAGGAAGTAGATGCCTGGGAACTTCTAGACCCTCTTCTACTTCCATAAAGTCTGAATCCGCAGATTCAGAAATCATTTCTCATCAAAAGAGCTATTGCTGTGACTTCTATTTTTATTGGATATTTTATGTGTAGAAGTTTTGGGCTTTACTTTGAATAACTGTTTCTTTCTTTTGTACTATATGGGTTGCATTTTCTTTTTGCTTGTTGGATGTAGACGGATTGGGTTTTATTTGCTAGGGTCTGTGTGCCTATTGATGTTTGGGTGGCGACTGTACGAGATGATTTTACAGCACTGGCGTATGATGTATTTGGTCGAGCTGTGTGCTTTGGACTAATCTTCTGGCTTCGGCATATGAGATGTTCCTCGTAACTTTGCAGTCTGCACTTCTTTTTCCAATTTCCATTTTGGGCAGAGGCGTGAAAATGCTGGGTGCTCACCCTTGCAATTTATACAAAGAGGCGCAGCGGTACAATTTTCAGAATCGTGGCCAATCTGTGAGCATCGGGCGCATGTGAGGCTGCCACGACAAGACGTCTTAAAATGGCCGAAACGCTGGCATTGGAAGCATCGCATAGGGTTTGGAATATAAGTTCTTACAGGACATTTTAGGTATCAGGCCTTAATATTCTTAGGCAGATCAGGTGAGTTGAAAGTAAGGATCACGTGTTTCGTGTCGATCAACTTACTTTTTTTATGCATTTTGATCCGCTTTACACCGCAGACATTTTGTTCGGAGAGCTCGGAAGCGATCTCTTCTTCAGAAACATACAGAAGGTCGAATTCCGAGATTACACCCCGACAATAGTTCAGTGACTTATGTGGTGTGTTACAGTGACATTCGCTTGCCCAAGTTTAGTTATCTGAAGTAAAGAAGCAGACTGGGTGGCTGAGGTTTGTATCAATAAGCAAGTCTCCGGAGCGGAGACGCTTTATATTTCTCGGCTCACCAATACAAGACTGGATGTATTTGTTATTACGAAAGGAGACATCTTATGCATTTCGCCAGAAGGACTAGAGATGACTAGGAAACGGGGACTATTGTTATGATTTTTTTCATTTGTATCTGTACGTAATTTTTTTGCAGTAGACTTTTCAGAAGTAGGTTGAGTGAGAGGTTGAGTGAGTGGTTGAGTGAGTGGTTTAGCAGTAGACGTTTCAGAAATAGGTTGAATGACTGGTTTCAGTAGATGTTTCAGAACTAGGTTGAGTGACTGGTTTAGGAGTAGAAGTTTCAGAACTAGGTTTGAGTGACAGGAGTGATTGAGTGACTGTGACAGGATTGACTTTGAGTGACTGGAGTTACCTCGAAATCTTTTATTAAGTAAATATGAGAAGCCATAGTGAAAAAGAATAAAGATTCGGGTCCGACGGCCCCGCCCACCACGGAGCCCAACAAGGGAACACAGATTCCTGTGTTAGGGCTAGCCGGACCTATACGCAAACTGAAGCCCCACAGTCGGCTTTCCCGAAAGCAGGTAC